TGGCTCCATGGCAATTGAACTGTATGTGTGTGATCTGAGCGCCATTCAGTAATAATGTGCACTCAGATCGGAGCTATCTGGGGAAATGTTGAATGTACCTGTTTTATGCAATGGCTGCACAGTTATATATTTTTATGTATTTTATTGTCTTTTGCTGCCATGTGTTCAATGGAGTTTTGCCTCTGTCCTTGCAGATAATTAGATTACTTCCCAATTATCTCCAGGATAGAAGACTCTGTGGAACTGGTTTTGGGCAGAAAAGCCATGCTTCATTTGGTTACAAAGGATTACGATCTCTCTTTTGAACTAATGGACCAATTTGGATGATTTTGACATATGTTTGTATTTGGAGTATGTTGATTCTGAAAATGTGCGTTTTATGTGAATGAGATGTACACTTTTAAAGTTATGAATAATGTGGAAAAACTGTATTTCTCTGTCTGTGATAATTACATTACCCATTGTGTAAGGTAATTGTTTCACAGGCAGAGGGGAGGATTTTGTGTGGGAGTGTATGACTGTATTGTACATGTTTATTGGTTGTTTTCTAAAACCCTGTGGGTGGTACTAATGTGTAAGTGTGTATATAAGAACAATAAACCCACAGCTCTCTCTGTTCCTGCTTGACCCTCAAAACGGAGCCTTGTCTCGTTCTTGGGGCGATTTATTGTATGCTGTTCCAGTTTGACTGCTAGGAGTGTAAACCTATTCGTATGGTTTTTCCTATTCGGCTGTTTACAGCATTCGTATAGTTCCGGTTCAGCTGTTTACGGCATTCATATGCTTCTCCGGTTCAGCGGATTGGTGTCTACAGTAGCTGTGTATCTGGAAGGGGAATATCTACTAAACGACTTTTAACCCCTTTTATGCCTGGCACACCGTGCACTGATTATACCGGGCACTGCCTGGCTCACAGTGCGCTGATTATACCGGGTATTATACCAGGCACTGCCTGGCACACCATGCGCTGATTATACCAGGTATTATACCGGGCACTGCCTGGCTCACTGTGCGCTGATTATACCGGGTATTATCCCGGCACTGCCTGGTACACAGTGCGCTGATTATACCGGGTATTATACCGGCACTGCCTGGTACACAGTGTGCTGATTATACCGGGTATTATACCGGCATTGCCTGGCACACCGTGCGCTGATTATACCGGGTATTATACCGGGCACTGCCTGGCTCACAGTGCGCTGATTATACCGAGCACTGCCTGGCACACCGTGTGCTGATTATACTAGGTATTATACCGGGCACTGCCTGGCACACAGTGCGCTGATTATACCGGGTACTATACCGGGCACTGCCTGGCTCACCGTGCGCTGACACCCGGTATTATACCGGGCACTGTCTGGCACACAGTGCGCTGACACCGGCGTTATACTGGGTATTATACGGGGCACTGCCTGGCAAACTGCGCTGACACCAGGTATTATACCGGTCACTGCCTGGCACACAGTGCACTGACACCGTGTATTATACCGGGCATTGCCTGGCACACAGTGCGCTGACACCCGGTATTATACCGGGCACTGTCTGGCACACAGTGCGCTGACACCGGCGTTATACCAGGTGTTATATGGGGCACTGCCTGGCACCCAGCGCGCTGATACCGGGGAAGGGATTCTACAACAGCCTCCTCCCGTCCCTCCCTCTAATCCTGTGCGGTTTGATTTAGGGGTTTGTTGACCGAGCTCAGCATTTTTGGATGTTTTTTTTTTTTTATAGTTTCCGTGAATCTGTAACAAAACTTGCACATGTTAATTGGGCATTGTGACGAGACCAATCTCGCCACTGTGCATTGGAGGAGCCTGGTTGCTCGCCTGCTGCCTTTAGACTATGGCCCCATGTTGAAACGCTTGATTTTCCCCTGCAAAGACACGAAAGCCGGGTCATTCGGTGCTTGCCCTTTTTGAGCGATGATACCCCAGATAGCTATGCCATGGAGCCCATTCATATAGTGAAAGAATATGGGAAAGACTTTGGCTCCATGGCAATTGAACTGTATGTGTGTGATCTGAGCGCCATTCAGTAATAATGTGCACTCAGATCGGAGCTATCTGGGGAAATGTTGAATGTACCTGTTTTATGCAATGGCTGCACAGTTATATATTTTTATGTATTTTATTGTCTTTTGCTGCCATGTGTTCAATGGAGTTTTGCCTCTGTCCTTGGAGATAATTAGATTACTTCCCAATTATCTCCAGGATAGAAGACTCTGTGGAACTGGTTTTGGGCAGAAAAGCCATGCTTCATTTGGTTACAAAGGATTACGATCTCTCTTTTGAACTAATGGACCAATTTGGATGATTTTGACATATGTTTGTATTTGGAGTATGTTGATTCTGAAAATGTGCGTTTTATGTGAATGAGATGTACACTTTTAAAGTTATGAATAATGTGGAAAAACTGTATTTCTCTGTCTGTGATAATTACATTACCCATTGTGTAAGGTAATTGTTTCACAGGCAGAGGGGAGGATTTTGTGTGGGAGTGTATGACTGTATTGTACATGTTTATTGGTTGTTTTCTAAAACCCTGTGGGTGGTACTAATGTGTAAGTGTGTATATAAGAACAATAAACCCACAGCTCTCTCTGTTCCTGCTTGACCCTCAAAACGGAGCCTTGTCTCGTTCTTGGGGCGATTTATTGTATGCTGTTCCAGTTTGACTGCTAGGAGTGTAAACCTATTCGTATGGTTTTTCCTATTCGGCTGTTTACAGCATTCGTATAGTTCCGGTTCAGCTGTTTACGGCATTCATATGCTTCTCCGGTTCAGCGGATTGGTGTCTACAGTAGCTGTGTATCTGGAAGGGGAATATCTACTAAACGACTTTTAACCCCTTTTATGCCGGGGTGCCGTTACAGGCATTATATAGGGTTAGCCAGGTTTCCCATGGCTGTGTGTGCTGTGTGTGCTGTGTGTGTGTGTGTGAAACGTGTGACTGCAATTAACTCAACCTCAAGTATTTTTAAAGAGATATTACATTGATAGGAATACAAATCTATATTCTTAACACTATAGCCCCTGCTGCTTACTCCCTCATTCACACCCCCGACTAAAATCCCCCCCCCTTTATTTAGATCCTGATGTGGAATCAATCAATAAATTGATTATCTTGTATCTGCCCCCGGCCAAATTAAAGAAGTAATGCATGCACGCTCCTAAAGTAATTCACACCAGACACAGGTTTCGGGTTAATGAAAAACTTGAGGAATGTTTATTCTGAGGGGACGGCATGTCCCTTATAAAGCAAAATTACATCATATGCATTGTCAGAGATAACATGGAATAATACATAATAATTGGTTAGTGTGACGAGAGCAATCTCGCCTCATTGCATTGGAGAAGCCTGGTTGCTCACCTGCTGCCTTTGGACTATGGCCCCCATGTTAAAAGACTTTGTTTCGCCTGCAGAAAAGCTTTATTCGTGCCTTTCTCCCGGGTGTTCGGTAGATTCAATCTACCGAACAACCGCACGAATGAATAGACCACCTGGGAGCTGGAGTGTGCCGGCAATTAACCTCCCTGAAGCTGCGGTTAACCGCAGCTTAATCGGCGAATGCTGGGTGGCCACCATTCGTATAACGAACACGAGGTCGCGGCCATTTTAAACATGCGAATACACAGCGGTGTTCGACGCTTAATTCATGGAACTAAAATCGGACACAGTTTTGCGCGAACACCGTTGAAGCCGCCGACCTCCCTTCTTTTTCGGTGGAAGTACACGAACGGCCGGCGTTCGGTAGTTTTACTTGTCTATGTTATACCCCAGATAGGAATCCCATGGAGCCCATTCGCATGAGAACTGACTGTGTAAAGACTTTGGCTCCATGGCGATTGAACTGTATTCGTGTAGTCTGAGCGCCATTCGCTTAATAATCTGGGGACATGTTAAATGTATAAGTTTATTGTAATGTGTCTCACATAGTGTATTTTAACAGTAATTCATGTTTTAGTATCCCCACGCGCATAATGGCGATTTGCCTTTGTCTTGGGAGATAATTGAATTACTTCTCAATTATCTCCAAGGCAGAGGGGAGGAAGCCAGGATGCATTGTGGGAATATAATGTGACTGTCCTATTTGTCTACTTGTCTGTCCCTTGTCACAGTCTCTCATTTGGTCCCTTAGGGGAGTGTCCACCAGGTGGGAGACCTGCATAAATACTGGGCAGGTAGCCCTCATTAAACAGACCACTGCTTGACCCTGAACACGGAGCCTTGTCTCGTCTTTGGGGGGGATTTACTGAATGCTGATAGAGACTGATTGGTAGGAGTGTAAGCCGCTTGGATGCTTTTCCTATTCGTCTGCTAGCAGTGATTCGTATGGTTCCAGTTTGTGTGTTTGGAGTGCTATATTGGATGCCGTTCGGTAGTTTGGAGCATTCCCTTATTGGCGGTTCATGAGCTTGGTGTTCTACAATAGCTGTGCCTGCATCTCTGGAAAGGGGGACGATCGCCTAAATGGTTTTTACCCCTTGTGTGCAAAACGGTCCGTTACAGTTAGGTGTTAAGTGGTTCATTTAGTGCTCTTCCTACCGGGTGTGATGTCACTGGTATCTTGGAGGTTTCCCCCAGATTCCAGCGCCATCTTGTTAATGAGGGTGTTAGTCGATGTCAAAGGGAAACTCCCTAGCGGCCATTTTAGGTAAATCACATAGAAAGTTGAATAATGCTGATTGTAGTTATACTGAGTAAATAGGCATTTTACCAACATGGATTGGGTTAATATCTTTGTCCACAACAGTCCCCCCTTAAAATGACTATTTACGAAAGAGAGAACTACTAACTAACCCTAATGATGTCCCTAATTGGCTGCAGCTCATCTGTCTGAACAGGCCTCGAACGCTTCACTGTGCAGGTATCCCGCAGCGGCTAACCCACTACATCTCCTGCCCGTAGAGACAGACGCTGTCCCTATACTATCCCTATATGGAAGTAGTTGTCTGTTTGAGACTGAAGAGGTGGGTGTGGGGTGTCACAGTCCATATCGTCGATATCCTGATGTAGGAATGTAGGTGTAGTGCGGTCAATAGTCTGACCTACAGTCTTCTGTAAATATTTCTGCACACAGGGCATCACACAGCAAATCCGGAAGAGAATGAGAATTACCACAGTAAGAACTGCCATACCTACTTGAAGGAGAGTTTTCTGCCATCCACTCATCCATCCAAACCATCTGTCCCATGAATTGGAGACTCCCGAATTCCTCTTTAATTCATCAGAAAGACTTTCTAATTTCTCTATAGCCATGGTTACCTTACCGTTAGGGCCTGTATTGTCTGGGATAAAGGTACAGCATGTCATAGTATCGGGGAGTATTTTACACACACCCCCTTTTCTGCTAGGATCATGTCTAAGGCTATTCGATTCTGAAATGTCATTTGGGAGGTAGTCTGTAATTGTTTTGCCAAGCCCTGAAGCGCATCTCTAGTATAATTGACAAATCGTTGCTGGTTATAGTAGATGTAATTGATCCAGTTAACATTCTTGTTAGCGGTGATGAGTGGGATCAAGTATTCGAATCCTGCCGCCACCTCATCTCTGGCCTTGAACTCATTTGGTACCCCCCTTGGTACTCCAATGGCATCGATATATATGTGTGGGTCGAAACTACCTCGAATGGGGGGTTTCTCTTTTTACTCTAAAATACGTGTGTGGTGAATCGTGTGGGCTTTGGTGGTTATCAGAACTTATATGTATGGGCATGATAGCTTTGGTCAGAGTACATTCTCCCCACCACAAGCCAGTTATTTTTAATCTGACCTGCATGTCACCACATAGCCAGTAAATGTCTCCCACGGACTTAACTTGATTTACTAATAGGGCAGTGGGAGGTTCTCGATAAGTGGTACAGTAGCCAGAAGGGAATTTACCTACAAATTTACCTGTGGTTCCATGTATTGTGTAGCAAGTGTAGTTACCTGGGTACACAGTGTTTCCATCAGGTGGCCTGGTATTCCCTTGGGTTATTGGGTAAACCTTTTTTCATGATTCACACACTGATGAATTCACTGCTGACTGCGCATAGAGGCTTAAGAAACATCTCAACATCTGGAGGTAGATTTAAAGGTACTGTACCCAAATGGGGTCTAGCCCCACCACAAACATGTTAGTTTTGTTGTGTGAATTAGCATTATACCTCATCCATTCAAGCCATAGATTAGTAGCTGAAAACCCGGTCTCAACAACCATAGTGTCTTCATATGTGGGATTGGCAATGGCTACCATGTCTTTAAGGGTTTTAATGTGTGGTTTGAGAGGGTTAATGGTCATGTGTGTGGAGTCTACCCAGTCAGGTGACGTAAGCATGTCTTGTAAATAGAAGTGTAATGATATTGATGTTACAAAGTTTTGGAGTCCAGTAGCCAGATCAGCAATGTTTTCTGCCAGAGGTAGCCACTCGTTACCCAGGTGGTTGAGCCCCTGAGCCTTGAGTGGCCTTCTGGTCTTAAGCAGAGATGGGAGACTGGAACAGAAAGATGATAATCGTAGTGAGGCAAGCCGAGGTCAGTGGGAAGGAGAAGCAGCAAAGTCAAAACAATCCAAATTCAGCAACAGGAAGGAGAAACAGGAACACGCTGGATTAGAGAGTACAGGAACCACAATAATCTGGCAAAGGTACAGAGACAGGAAGTGGCTTTTATAGGCCAAGAACCAGACACAGCTGAAGAGAGTTGTCACTGATAACCTTGACTCTACAAGCAATGGTATCAGACCTCAGGTAAATTTCCAAAAGGCAGGCTGGTGTACTGGTAAGGAAGAGGTTTAGCACCATGTAAACCGGGGTTCGAAACCCAGCAGAGTCAGTTCCTCACATTACCTCCACCTCTACAGGCGCAGCCTCTGGATGCCCTTTTTCCTGGTTTAGCAGGGTACTGTGCATGGAAAGACTGAAGAAGATCAGGAGCGTGAATATTGTCCACTGGTTCCCACGATCTATCGTCCTCACCATAGCCTTTCCAATGAACCAAATATTGAAGCTTGTTGCGGAAGATCCTGGAGTCAAGAATTTTTTCCACCTCGTATTCATCTTCACCATCCACGAGGACTGGTGGTGGGGCAGGCAGGGCTCGACCAGGGAAAGTATTTTCATGAAAAGGTTTAAGCAGTGCCACATGAAACACCGGATGTATTTTCATGGAATCTGGAAGTTGCAGACGGAAGGTGACTGCATTGATCTGAGCGATGATCTCAAAAGGTCCCATGAACTTTTGACCCAATTTATGAGAAGGAATCCTAAGCTTAAGATTCTTTGTTGACAGCCAAACCTTGTCACCAACATGATAAACTGGGGCCTCCTTTCTGTGCCTATCAGCAGCTCTTTTGTAACATTCCTGAGCCTCCGAAAGAGTCTCCTTCAACAGTTCTTGGGAATCTCGTAAGGCGGTTAGCCGGTCAGTGACTGCAGGAATGGAAGTAGTAATTGGGAGACTCACTAGAAAGGTTGGATGGTAACCATAATTGGCAAAAAATGGGCTCAGAGAAGTGGAGCAGTGTTGGGCATTGTTATAGGAAAACTCAGCCGTGGGTAGAAAATCCAGCCAGTCATCCTGCAGGTAACTAATATAGCACCGTAAATATTGTTCTAAAGTCTGGTTGGTTCGCTCAGTCTGTCCATTACTTTGTGGATGAAAAGCTGAAGACAGATTTACATTAATACCTAGAATAGAACAAAAACATTTCCAAAAATGAGATGTAAACTGCACTCCCCTGTCAGAAATTACTTCATCAGGCACTCCATGCAAGCGAAATATTTCCTAAATAACTAGGTCAGCAGTCTGTTTAGCTGAAGGGAGACCACGAGCTGGTATGAAATGACTCATCTTAGTTAACCGGTCCACAACAACAAGAATGGTAGTGTGTTCCTTAGAGGGAGGTAGTTCCACAATAAAGTCCATGGATATAGATCCCCAGGGACGATGAGGAATCGGAAGAGGCTGAAGCAAGCCAACAGGGGATGAGCGAGGAGTCTTATGTCTGGCACATACATCACAAGAGGACACATACTTCTTAACATCCTCATAATATTTAGGCCACCAAAAGGATCGGGTAAGTAGTTCTTGTGTCTTTCGGATTCCTGGATGACCTGCTGGTTTAGAGTCATGGTAGAGGCGTAAAACGTCCAGTCGCACTGATTCTGGAACAAACAGACGTTGTTGAAAAATCCAAAACCCATTAAGCATGGTCATATGAAGATCACGAGGAGGATCACGAAAAACTGGATCTTTAGAGTAGCCCTTTTTAATGCGAGACATTAGATCAGAAGGAAAGGTAACTCCTAAAAATCTGCTCTCCGGCAAGATGGTGGCCTTGGTTACTGTAGTATGGAGGGGGTCAGCTATCCTAGACAAGGCATCCGCCTTGCCATTTCTGGAACCAGGGCGGTATGAAATAAAAAAATTAAACCTTGAGAAAAATAGGGACCAGCGTGCTTGTCTGGCTGACAGTCTCTTAGCGGATTGAATACATTCCAGATTTTTGTGATCTGTGAGGACAGTAATTGGATGGGTGGCTCCCTCCAAGAGATGTCTCCATTCGGCGAAGGCAGCTTTTATAGCCAAAAGTTCTTTATTCCCTATGTCATAATTTCTTTCTGCTGGTAACATCTGGCGGGAATAGAAGGCACATGGATGTAACAACATCTTAGGTCCAGTCCTTTGAGACAGTATAGCCCCAACAGCTGAATCAGAAGCATCTACCTCTACAGTAAATGGCAATTCTGGCTGAGGATGTACCAAGATAGGGGCAGATGTAAACAGAGTCTTTAATCTGGAAAATGCAGTGTCAGCCTTATTGGACCACTGAAAAGGAGTCCCTTTACGTGTAAGTTCAGTGATCGGTGTAATAACGGCAGAGAAATTCTTAATGAAACGCCTGTAAAAATTGGCAAACCCCACAAATCTCTGTATATCTTTTTCATTCTTGGGGATGGGCCAGTCCAGCACAGCTTTAATTTTACTTGCGTCCATACTTAAACCTTTAGGAGTTATTACATACCCCAGGAACTGAATTTCTGTTTGTTCAAACTCACATTTTTCCAGTTTAATGTATAGGTGGTGGGTACGAAGGCGCTCAAGAACAATGCAGACCTGTTTTCTGTGATTTTCAAGATTAGCAGAAAATATCAGAATATCATCCAAATATGCCACAACAAACTGATCCAGGAGATCCCGTAGTACATCATTGATTAGATGCTGAAAAGTTGCAGGGGCATTACAAAGCCCAAATGGCATTACTAGATATTCGTAATGTCCGTACCTGGTTCTGAAAGCTGTTTTCCATTCATCATTTGGTCTTATGCGAACCAGATTATATGCCCCCCGTAGATCAAGCTTCGTAAATATTTTAGCTGAACGAAGTCTCTCCAGAAGTTCAGGAATGAGAGGCAAGGAATAATGGTTTTTAACAGTGATTTTATTAATGTCCCTGTAATCGACACATGGCCGTAGACTGCCATCTTTCTTTTCTACAAAGAATATAGGAGCTCCTGCTGGACAAGTAGATGGTCGAATAAAGCCTTTGGCAAGATTTTCTTGTATGTATTCACGAAGTGCTTTCAATTCAGGCTCAGAAAGGGAGTATATACGGCCAAATGGGATAGCAGCTCCAGGTAGCAGCTCTATGGGGCAATCATAAGGCCTGTGAGGTGGAAGTTGATCAGCATTCTTCTTATCACAGACATCTGCAAAATCCCGATATTGTACAGGAAGCTTAGTTAAGTTTGTAGCAACCATTTCATTAATTGTTGTGGTAACAGGTGTCGCCTTAGAGGGTTGACAATTCATTAAGCAGTGTTCTGAAGGAAAGGACAAGGTTCTAGTCTTCCAATCAATCTGTGGGTTATGCAGAGCAAGCCAGGGTATACCCAAAATCACTGGAAACTGTGTTGAGGAAATTAGGTGGAAAGATATAGACTCATGGTGATTCACTTCCAGAATCAATTTTAAGGGCACAGTCTCATGTGTAACCGGGCCTGACGTAAGTGGAGAACCGTCTACTGTTTCCATTAACACAGGTGAAGATTTAGGGATAGACTGAATTTTATTTCCTGCTGCAAATTTAATGTCCATAAAGTTTCCGCCTGCTCCGGAATCTATCATAGGTGTAGCTGAAATTTTATTATCACCATATTGCAAAGTGATAAGCACCACCAAATGAGGATGTTGAGTCATCATACCTTCTTCACCCTGAGCCAGAGAAAACAAGGGTTGTGTGACAGAATCCAGTTGGTCTGAAATCTGGGATTGGTGTGGAATCTGTGCACCCTCAGCAGTCATAGCTATTGTTCTTTTAGACTTGCTAGGGCAATTGATGGCATAATGCCCTGCACTACCACAATACAGGCATAAATTGTTAGTGCGTCGCCACTGTTTTTCTTCATTGGATAATGGCCCTCTTATTAGATCTACCTGCATAGCCTCAGGTTCAGAGTCTGTAGGTGTTTGTGGGGTCGGAGTAGAAATTCTTGAATAGAAAGTAGGAGTAGCACTTGGTTTAAAAGAGCCCTGTCTTTCCAATCTTCTTTCTGAAAGTCTCCGATCAATACGGATAGCCAACCGCACAAATGCATCAAACTCAACAGGAAGATCAACACGAGCTAGCTCATCTTTTATAGCTTCTGAGAGACCCCTTCTGAAGTGGAACCTCTGGGCTGATTGGTTCCAAGTAGTATCAGTAACCCACTGTCTGAATTCAGCAGCATATTCAGCCACAGAGCGCCTCCCTTGATGTAAATGAAGGAGAGTGGCTTCTGCTGTAGCACAGCGATTGGGATCATCAAAAACTAGGCACATGGCCTCAAGAAAGTCTTTTAAATTTCCCAAGACTGGACTGTCTTGTTCCAGAAAAGGGGAGCCCCAGGCCAGGGCTTCTTCTTTGAAGAGGGAGAAAATAAATCCCACCTTCTCTCTTTCAGATGGAAAACGGTTAGGTAACATCATTTAAAAATGCAAATGGCATTGATTTAGGAAACCCCTAAATTTTTTGCGGTCTCCTCCAAATTTTTCTGGTAGAGGCAAGCGGGCATCTTGTGCAGGTGTAACAGTAGTAGTAGTAGTAGCAGCAGCCGCAACATCATGTGCCCTGTAGCTGGTAAGCTCACTATGCATTGATCGAACTTCATTTTGCAGTTCAGCTACCTGATCCTGCAGCACTTGAATGGTCTGTGCCTGGGTCTGCATAGTTCTTGCATTAAAAGCAACCTGCTGGGCCAATGCAGAATCTGATCCGACGGTCTCCATGAATGGACAGATTATTCTGTAATGATATTGATGTTACAAAGTTTTGGAGTCCAGTAGCCAGATCAGCAATGTTTTCTGCCAGAGGTAGCCACTCGTTACCCAGGTGGTTGAGCCCCTGAGCCTTGAGTGGCCTTCTGGTCTTAAGCAGAGATGGGAGACTGGAACAGAAAGATGATAATCGTAGTGAGGCAAGCCGAGGTCAGTGGGAAGGAGAAGCAGCAAAGTCAAAACAATCCAAATTCAGCAACAGGAAGGAGAAACAGGAACACGCTGGATTAGAGAGTACAGGAACCACAATAATCTGGCAAAGGTACAGAGACAGGAAGTGGCTTTTATAGGCCAAGAACCAGACACCTGACCAGACACAGCTGAAGAGAGTTGTCACTGATAACCTTGACTCTACAAGCAATGGTATCAGACCTCAGGTAAATTTCCAAAAGGCAGGCTGGTGTACTGGTAAGGAAGAGGTTTAGCACCATGTAAACCGGGGTTCGAAACCCAGCAGAGTCAGTTCCTCACAAGAAGGTTCCCAACTTGTTATATGAGCCACCCCTTTTCCAATACATTCCCATTACGTACTCCCCAGCGTCTCCTGGGCTGGGATGTTCTATGTTTAAGGTGAGCTTCATTGGGGTAGACCCTGTTGGCTTGCATAAGGTCATTCTTTATAACAAGGGTTTCCCGTATCTGTCAACCCTATCTAAGGCACTTTGTGGTCTGTAGCCCCATGGTCGGCCCGTATTCCAACCTGCTGCTTTCCAGGTACTACAGTGATGTCCCCAATGGTCACCTGTCACACAAATATATGGGTACTTTTTGTTTGGTATGTCTTTGTATATTGCTGAGTGTTGTGATTGTGGAAAAGTACAAGAGACAATATCACAGTAATCAAAGGCGAAAGTAGCTACGTGTGTGTTTGAAGAATTATACCAAAATGTGTAAACATGATTGTCTTTGGTGATAGCAACTCGTTGGGCCTTTGATAGGCCTAGCAGCAGAAACAGGCACAGGAAGCTCATGATTTGGCGGAATCTGCTTCCTCTGGATCAGGAACTTTCTTGCAGTGCGAGGCGTGTATCCAGGTATTCTTCCCGACCAACTTTACAGAGGTAGATGTAGTCAATAGGACTGGGAATGGACCATTGAACTTTGGCTCTAAGGTGTGTTTTCTTAGGAACTTCTTGACCATGACCCAGTCACCAGGAAGTAGCTTATGTGTGCCTGTATTTGACTCTGGATCTGGAATAGAAGAAAACACCTGTGAATGGATTTTGGTCAAGGCATGAGAGAGTTGAGTTATATAATCTACCATTGCATCTGACTGAATTTGAAGTTGCTGAGGGAAATAACAGCCTAACCTGGGTGCTGTTCCAAATAAGATTTCGTAGGGGGATAAGCTAAAACTCCCTCTTGGGGTGTACCTTACACTAAACAATGCTATGGGAAGACTCTCCGGCCAGGGTAGGTTAGTTTCTTGGGACATTTTAAGCATTCTGGCTTTCAGAGTGCCATTCATGCGTTCTACCTTACCACTACTCTGTGGGTGATAGGGTGTGTGGAATGCAAGGGTCACCCCCAGTGCAACACAGTGAAGGATGTACCCTGGTCACTTTCAATTACTTCAGGAACTCCGTATCTGCAGATAATTTTGGTAAGTAGACGCTTCGCCGTGGTCTTTGCAGTGAGATTAGCGACCGGAAAAGCTTCTGGCCATCCTGAAAACATATCCACTATGACCAGTGCGTATTCATACCGGCCACTCTTTGGCATTTGGATATGATCAATTTGAATCCTCTGGCAAGGGTACTGTGGTTTGGCCAAATGGTTTGGTGCCGCTTTAATTAATTATTTTCCCTGGATTACATCTGGCGCAGATGGTACAGGATCTGCAGTAATTTCGTGTCATGGTGGTGATTCCGGGTGCTTCAAAATATTTATCAATCAAAGAGTTCATGAGGTGCTTAGATAAATGAGCTGGTCCATGGGCCCACTGAACGACAGCTGGATACATATTCTTGGGTAGACAGAATTTGAGGTTGATCGTGTATACTTCATTCTGGAGGGTTGCTCCTTTGTCTTTCCAGTTTTGTTTTTCTTGTGGGGTGACGGCGGCCTGTTGTTCTCTTAGGAGCTTGAGATCAGTGGGTAGGGTTTGCATAGTGTAAATAGGAGTCTCTTCGACAGACACTCTTCTGTTTATTTCCCGACACTGGCGTGCCGCATCCTTAGCAGCCTGGTCAGCTAAATGTGCTTCTTCTGAATTCAGTCTCCCGTGGGCCATTACCTTCAGTATGGCCACCTCTTCAGGAAGTAGTAAGGCATCCATCAAGTCTTTGATAGCTGCGCCATGTTTCACAGGAGTACCTGTTGCTGTAAGGAACCCCCCTGGTTTTCCAGATTAAGCCAAAGTCATGTGCCACGCCCAGGGCATACCTTGAATCTGTATAAATATTAACACGCTTCCCTTCAGACATCTTGCGTGCCACCGTAAGGGCTATTAGTTCGGCTTCTTGTGCTGACTTAGATGATGGGAGAAGATGCTTGGAGTATTTGGTCCTCTGTGGTGAATGCATATCCGGTATGATATTGTCCCTGCACATCTGCAAATCTAGAACCATCCACAAACAGAGTGTAGTCAGGGTCAGGTAGAGCAGCCTCGTGCACTGTTGGGAGATGGGTTGTGTGACGAAGTGCCCTTCGCCACTTGTGCCTGGAGGGGACTACTGGCTAGCCTCCTGCCTTCCGACTATGGCCCATGTGCTGATAGCGGTATTTTCCCCTGCAGAAAGGTTTATTTGTGTATTTCTGCTGGGGCGTTCTGGTCTTTCAGGATGGTAGTAGTGCTATCCCAGATAGCTATGCCATGGAGCCTATTTGTGTAACAAAAGACTATGGAAAAGACTTTGGCTCCATGGCGATTGAATTGTATGTATGTGATCTGAGCGCCATTCAATACTAATGTGCACTCAAATCTAAGCTATCTGGGGATATGTTGCATGTATATGTTTTATATAGTAATTGTAACGTGTAATTTTATGTCTTTTTGTAACCATGTGGTTAATGGAGTCTTGCCTCTGTCCTGGGAGATAATTTAATTACTTCCCAATTATCTCCAGGATAGAGAGGAGGGATTGTGATGTCACTGTGGGAGTGTTTTGTTTGTATTGTCTGTGATTGGTTATACTGGGTCCCACCCTGTGGGATGTCCCCTTGCATGGGGACTTGCATAAAAGCCAGTGTGTGGTCATTAAAACCAGATCATCTTGTACCTTTCTTGAAGCCTTGGCTCATGTTTGGGGGAAGGGATACCTACACTCTGGGGATTGCTATAATCACTTACTCCCCAGAGTAAGCTCTTGCAATAGCTTGATTTGTCCCTGCTACGCTCTCTGGATTTAGGAGAGGTTCACCCACTGGGAGCTGGATCCTGGTTGTGGATCCAGGGTGGGTGGAAACGGCGAGACCCCGGCGCAGCTGTATCGCTGGAAGTGGGGTCTGCAGTGCTGATGCTGTCGGTTAGAGTGCTTGGAGTCCTCGGCAAGCGCTAGGAGCATCGATTGGCGGAGGTACTCAGTCGGAGTGCCAGCGTTCCGTCACAGGTTGTTTCCATTTTCATCTGTTCTGTAGAATATTGCATATTCTATGTTTCTATTAATTATATATGGATGTTTGGATTGACATAAGTAACAGATGGTATAAGTAACAGAGGGACATGAGGTCACTCTCTCTTGGCTCTGGCTCTCTCTCGATGTAAAGATGTAAGGTTGTAAAGAAGTCCAGCAATTACCATCTGCTGTTGAATGTCCATTATCCTGTAACATCATTTATTATGTATCAGTAACTAAGAATAAACCTGAAGAAACCGTAAGTCAGATTGCGCATTAGTACTTTTCAATAATATAGGCATATATTATTGTGGCGAGCATTTGGCCCAAGACTATATATACAAAAGATGTGTATATATATCAATCAACTGAAGACAAGAAGAAATTAAGAGGATTCTACATTAACACCGTTCCAAATTAGATATTACATGGACGAGCCAGCCAGACTGTTTTCTGGTGTTACAAACTTCTATTCAGGGGGAGTTGAGCAGAGAGAGGACGGATATCGAATTACTCTTTGTGTTGAATAGAAGTGTGTGCAGCCAGAAACAGAAAAAAGAACCGTGTTAAAAACCGTGTTAAGAGCTGTGTGTGTTTATCAGAAGACAAAGATTTTCAAATCACAAAGACTGTTCCAAGATTATATTCTACAACAGAGAAAAGAACGTGGTATAAAGAAAGCAGCACAAGATACAACGTGAATTCTAGAAGCAAGCACGTGGCAGAGATTGGCAATCATCCAGATTCAAGCCCAGAACTGCGCAGCTGTGTGGATGAAGCAACGAAATAGACAGAAATAACTGATCTGGTGAGTAACATGGAATTCATAAATGATATTGCAGAGAAAAGTAAATTGCAGTTTGCATTGAATAGCAGCTATTCAGATGCTGTTTTGTGGCAATCTTTATACACACAATGTGAAATTGCCAATACTGAAACTGACAAGAAATTGTTAATAAGAAAACAAAAGATCAGAAATGTTATGAAACTAGTCTGTACTTACAATGCATTGATTTGTAAACGAGATGCAGGTCAAGAAAATTTAGAATCAGCAGATAAAGAAATAGATCTGAATATGTTAACAGAAGACAAATCAGATTTAAATGAACACTGTAACAATGTAACAGAGAGCACATGCTCTCAATGTAACTTTGAGAGAATGTCAGAAACAGTCTGTGAATTAGAGGATAGAGTTGAATTAAGAAATGATCTTTTTTGTCAGCTTAGAAATGAAGTAAAGCAAGTGTGTGTGAACACAAGAAAAATACAGGCACAGAATCTAATCCCAGAACCAATTGATACTGAAAATGTAACCTCACAGAGTGATTTGCAGAAATGTAAATTTCAAGAAAGAGCTGCAACACTTAATTTGAAAATCCATGAACAATTAAATGAAAATTGTGAAATGTATTCCAGTTTATGACACGTCAGTGGATGCATTTACTAATGCTGAAATGTTTGAGTCAAATTTGGACAAATATAGCCTAAATGACGAACAAAGAAATAGACTATTTCAAATATGGCTGCCGACTCAAATGGCATGTAGGCTGACCGCGCCTGTAAAATGTGAGGACAATGATAAAATAATATATGGTAATAAGCAAGACAGATTAACACAATTAATAAAATTAACAACAAGGAATGATTTTGCAGAAGTGTTGGAAAAACTAAAACCACAGATTGATGAGGATATTTTTAGTTTTCTTGTAAAATTTGAAAATGCATATAGACATGTTGGTAATTTTCCTGAGGATCAGTTAATTAATGAATTTGTGAAAAAATTTCAAGATCTAGATCCAACTGCAATTCTGTTAGCTAGAGAAAAAAAGCACTTTGACAGAAGTAGCTTTATTCTTGGATAACTTAAGCAGAGAAACCAATAATGAAGGGGTTAAAATGACTTGTGGAATTAGGCAGAGAAAGAAGTGCAGATTTTACACCCCTCATCCCCCTCCTCCTCCTTCTAGGACAGAGTGTAAAAGAGTGATACAGACAGCTGAGCCCCTCCCAATGTGTTCAACTAAAAACTGTAGAGTTAATCAAAGACAGAATATAACTCCTAAAATTATTTGTTTTTGGTGCAATAAACAACATTATTTAAGATCTTGCAGATATTTTATCCGAGATATCAAATCAAAAGCAAATGAGAAATTAAATTTGTTAATTGAAAATTTTGACAGAGAAAATACATGTGGAGATAAATCAATAAAGGCCTTTCCTTGTAAACTTATAATCAGACAAATAAAAGCAATTTTAGCTAAATCGAAATTAGGAGACAGACAAGCAATGCAGTGTAACACAGAAAGTTATAAGAATCAGATAACTTCAAGAGATATGATCAGTTTAGGGAATGAGCGTGGATGTGTGTGCCAACAGATGTACACAGGCTGATTCCAGAATTAAGGACAGCACACAAGAATAGAGATCTATGTTAGTTTGTTGTGTTATGGGCAAATGCAAACATTACAAGTTTTAGAATGAAATGTTGTATTTCTTAAACTGTGTACTTTGTCTTTAAAAGATATTGCAAACTGACAAGGTGTTAGAAATTGAACATATTGTTTTTCATAGAGGTTTCTTTAAGCAATAACCTCAGTGCAGAATATGTTTGTGCCATTTTGTCCCAGACGAATTACAATAACAATAATGCATAAACAAGCTTCAAGGCTATTCTACGACACTTGCAGTACACAATATACTGTGGTAACCCCAAGTTAATGGAACTTCCCCAAATCCGGGAATCTCCCGCGACTGTACACTTACGACTTAGTATAAACAACAGATAACCTATTCAGACTTTAAGATGCCATCTTGAACTAAGTCAGGAAAATTTCCATGACGTATACACCCTTTAGTTATGGCCTTGTATGTTTGCCAAGTTAAGGGAGGTCCTAAATTGAATAAAGTAAAAGAAGTGTTACTTTTTCATATTTGAACTACGGTAACCTAAAATGGAGACAGAGGTGTACTTTTAAATGTTAAGACACAGAGGAGAGACTTGGAGACAGACGCTGCTCCATCTTAAAATGACCGAGAGGCTGACATGATGACATGTTCAGAAGGGTATGTTAACCTATTAATGATATTTGCAAGCATGTAATTTAATCTTATAAACTCTGCTATAATGGATTTTATATTTTTATATAATAAATATCCAAAAGACAAAACTATTGCTTCCAAGACAATCCTTATTTTAGATTGTATTCTCAATTATTTATATATGTTAAATAGAGGATCTCTTACACTATATAAAATTATGGCTGAGATATCTGTATGGTTAGCCCTACTAAGTTCTATGCTTTAAGACATTATAGTGGTAAATAAGGGAACCAGCCACGGTTACAGTTGTTTTAAATGAATTGTTAGTCTGTACTGTTTTTCATTGTTTTTATGTGTGTTATAAGAAAGTATTAGGTTAATTAATTAAAATTAAAATTTACATCAAGTTTGCAAATTTGGCAGAATGAAATATACTAATGTAGCAATTAGGAACATGCAATCTATGTTATATTGGGTGTATGCGATTATACAGTAACTCCAATCATTTTACAGAAGGAAAAAAAACAATAGATTTATTCTTTGTTGCTTCTGAGGTTGATTTAAAATCTTTGATTTAATTCACGAGAATTAGATTTTAGTGTCATGACTGATAATGGATTACTATATTTTGCAAAGCCTGGACATACATATGTTTTGACTATATAGAAGACAAAAGTTTTGATATAATAAAACCTAGATTTACAAATACATTTGATGTAGGAAACAATATATGTTTCTTATAGTTTGTTTCATGTGACAAAATGGTGCCAGTGTTCAGACAAGATGGCTGCTATTGCTAAAGTATAGTGGAAAACAATATTTTGTTGTAACATCTTATATGTGATTAGGTTATACCTCCAGATTATTAAACAGTTTTAAAGGGGGGTATGATTAATAAAAAGTTTGGCAAATTTAAATGTTCAGAAAGATTTTAATACAAAAGGAAATGTAAAGATTATATATCAAATGGCATAAATGTAATGACCACTAGATGGTAGATCACATGAGAAGAAATGAGTATGTTTTGTGTAGTCAATATATTTAAATGTTAAACTGTATAATAATAGTGATATAAACATTGTAAGCCATTGTATTGATGCTGCACGTTTTTTTGTTTTAATGTAGGTAAAGCGTGACAGATCTATGTGGCAGTAAATTAGGAAAGAATTCCTTTAGACAACTGGACATCGACTGTTGGAAAGAGACTTTTCAACTGATCTGCAAACTGTGATGGAAGATTCTACAGAGATCATTTGATACAGAAGATTAACAAACTTACAAAGAAATAAAATATTGACACTAATATATATTCCTAAATATTAACAGAAAAGAAAACAGACAATGAAAAGTTATATAACAGTTATGAGTATTAATACCAAAAGAGAGTACTTAGAAAATTATGATAGGATAGTATTATGAAAAGAACTATTACATTATGACCTATACATAGGATGAGAAGTATCAGAGGCAGATAAAATATGAAGTTGATAAAATAAGGATCATGGTTAGTTAATACTACAAAGAATGAGTGCAATAGTATTTCATAGATTCATAAGAATGAGTAATTTGTTGATATCGAGGTGAAGTAAAACAAACAATGGTAACAAAAGGAAGAAAACTAAGGAAGGATAATTTATATTGATTAATATTAAGTAATGGTATACATTAAGAATGCCTTGGATATAAGAGTTCAGAGATCCAAGAGGAATTGAATTGAGTTTAGTACACAATTATATTTGACCTAAGTCTATAAAAGTATAGACTAGGGAGAATAGGTTTCTGGATATGAAAGTATCCAATGAATTGAATAAGTTGTTAAAAGTGGTTTTATGATTTCCCTGAGTTTGTTAGACACAGACTAGGAATAAAAGTTTCTGGGCAGTATGACCCCAAGTTTTGTTTATTTTATTTTAATTTAGTCAGTTGAAGTGTACTAAGGAATACGGATTGGTCAGAACAAATGTTAAGGTAACATTAGGGCAGTCCTACTTTTATGTTGAGATGTATTACATTAATAAGTCATCACAATGAATTTAAATTATTATTTCCAAGTTATTTTAAAGTAAACCATGTTTCTATTGAATGAAAAGTTTGTTACTACAAGGTGGAATTTTAGTCAAAATTATAATTATGTAAACAAAAACAAATCTATGATAGAAAGATTTCTGCGTGGAGAATTTCTAGAACAATAAGTATTGTCAACACAATGAACATTATTTGAAGAATTATTATAAAACTTCATGGTTGACAACAACACAACCTTTGAAGGTTTGCAAACTATGAGACTTATAAGTAGTGTTAATATATTTCAGTTAGTGAGAGCCTACTGAATATACAAATTAAATACTATGATTGTAAAGTACTGATACAATTATCACTAGATGGTATTAATGGTATAGGAATGTAATTCATGAATACAAATGACCTAAAGATTTTAAGGTTGCTAGAAACCATATGATTCATGGAAATATAATACGTTGGGATATACAAGCAATACATGTATTAGTACTTAAGTAATATCAGGTATTGAGAATGAAAATACTTTTATACGTGTCTTCATTAGGAATATGATAGTGATACACAGTTATTATCTAGAAATCTTAATTTTGTTGTTATCTACAAAGACATGACTGTACCATAGCAGGTAGATATTTTTGATTGCTTTATTGTTTATTGGATCAACATTTGTAAATATTTTATTCATTTATTATTGTTATATATATGTATACATTATGTTCAAGTAATTATGATGTAACATGGATATGGATATCAATACATAGCTGAAATAGAGGGAGTGTTGAAGTAAACTAAGCAGTATGAGGGATAGAAACTCGACCGTCTAAGAACTCTCTATAATAGAAAGTTGTGACTACATTTTGTTCTATTCTCAATTAATGTGATACAAGTGATGTATGAATGGACAGGTTAGTTACATTGTGTTATGGTTTTAAGACAAACCATAAACCGAGGGAATGTAGAATATTGCATATTCTTTTTTTTTATTTTTTTTAAATTTTTTTATTATTAATTCATTTTATCATACATTGACAAAAAGTGAAATTTACATACAAGACAAAGACAAGTGTAGCAATAACAAAACATATAATTTACATTGTTACAAATGTTCTATTCCTATATATTAGGTGAATCCCAAGTTAAAAAGCTAAGAATCTCTCAATACAAAAGTAATTCATATCTTATAGAACCATTATCTAAATAGAAATAGATATATAAATATAAATATATAAATATAAATATGGGCTAGGGTCAGTCTGATCATCTGGAAAGAAAAATATCTCCGTGGTGAGGTTTTCTATCGGAATCTATCGAATTCTGAGTAAGGAAAAAATACAAAGAAAAAAAATAATTCATTTATTTTCTAAGGTTCGTATCCAATAAGTGTATTGGTCTTGTTTATTTGCAGAAAGTATAAAGGGAACTGGTAGATCTTTTTCCATTTGAAATTGATATAAAATTTGATTAACAAGCTGACTTCTCAAGAAAGGAAGATGTGACTTCCATTGTCTTGCTATTATTATTTTTACTGCTAAAAAACAGTGATTTACAAGGCATTTAGAAGAAGTGGAAGAAAGTTTCCAGTTTAAATGTAGCAATGCTGTGTCTGGGCCTTTTTTGATTGTAATATTAAATAAACATTTAAGTATTTCAAAGGACCACTCCCAAAGATTTTTAACCAAACTACAATGCCACCATATAAGAACAAGTGTTCCCTCTGGAAAACCACATCGCCAGCAGTGAGGAGTTTGACCTGGATACATCTTACTTAATTTATATGGAGTCAGATACCATTTATACATAACCTTATATTGGCATTCAAGTAAGTTCTGACAATGAATATATTTACGGGTGTCTTTAAGAGACATACACCATTCTTGCTCAGTTATTTCAGTCTTTAAGATACTTTTCCATTTATCAAGTATGTTTAAAGGTTGTTGATCAAGAATGAATATCAAGTTAGTAGCTTTTGAAAGAATTTTTTTAACCTTAGTATATCTAAAAATGGATTGAAGAAGAATATCAATTTTTGGTGACGTATTTAGTAAAAACTTATTCAAGAAATTTTTGACTCTTAAATAAGAGAAAAATTCTTTGTTAGGGAGAAGGAGTTTAGCTTGAATATCCACAAAAGGTAAAATTTGGTCATCATAGTGGATATCCCCAATCGTCCATTGAAATTTAGACCATTTATTTAAAGAAATATCTTCGATATTATCTTCTAAAATGATCAAATGAGATGATTTAATTATTTTATCGGAGATTTCTTTTTGGTTTTTTTATCCACACTAATACTACATAAAAATTCTATCGTTTTTTTATTGTTTTTAAGCCATAAATACATTTCCAATCTATCTTTTCCAACTGCCTCGGATTCAATTAGGTACCATGTGTCTGTTTTAAACAATTCAACCTGAAGTTTATATATGTGACCAATAATGTTAGCATAATAAGAATTTCTAATATTTGGGTAGTTTATACCTCCATTTTGGGGTTTCCTAGAGAGAACTTTAGAGCTTAATCTAGGCCTTGTCGTTTTCCAGATAAATTTTTGAAAACTAGATTGTATCATGGTTAACCAGATATCTGGAATTTGAAGAGGAATCATCCTAAATAAATACAACCATTTGGGCATAATATAAGCATTAATTATGTTAATCCTACCGATCCAAGAGGATTCGGTTAAGCACCATTCTTTTAATTTTATATTTGTGTATTTTAGGAGATTCAATACATTTTTTTCCATAATATCGTTAACTTGAGATGAAATTATCACGCCCAAGTAGTTAGAAACATTATTGGTCCATATAAAATCATAATTCTCCCGTAGAGCTTTTAAACTATAAATGTCAACATTAGTAGTTACAGCAATTGATTTAGAAATATTAAGTTTATAATTGGATACCTTAGAATAACTTTTTATAGCGGCTAGAGCTTGAGGAAGAGAGGATTCTGGGGAAATGAGTTAATAATATATCATCAGCATAAAGTGATATTTTTGCTTCTGAGGTTTTTGTTGGAAAACCTATAATATTCAAATTATTCCTAATATTAATAGCTAAGGGTTCTAAAGTTAAAATATAAAGAAGGGGCGATAGGGGACAGCCCTGGCGTGTGCCATTATATAGACTAAACCAATTTGATTGAATATTTACTCCTACAGTTCTAGCTGTTGGTTCGGAGTAAAGTGCCAAAATGGCATCATGAATCCAACCTATAAATCCAAAAGAGGTCAGCACCCCGTCGAGGAAGCGCCAACTGACCCTGTCAAAGGCCTTCTCGGCATCCAATGAGAGGGTCAGCAGCGGAATCTCCCGACGGAGTGCACCATCCAAAATGTTGATTATTCTTCTAGTACATGTATCAGAAGATTACCTGGCAAAAAAAACGACCCGATCAGAATGAACGACTCTCTCAACAAGTGATTTTAATCTAGCTGTTAATATTGCTGCATATATTTTCATATCTGTATTGATTAAAGAGTTTGGTCTGTAATTTTTAACATTTGTTGGATCTTTATTTGGTTTTAATATTGGAAGGATATTGTCTTGTAGCAACTCCTTTGGTGTTTTAGATGTTTTGGCCATTTCATTAAAAAGAGCCGTTAAGGGAACAGTTATCTCTTTTTTCATTACTTTATAGAAAAGGTTAGTAAATCCATCCGGTCCAGGAGTCTTATTTAACCCCTTAAGGACTGGACTGTTTTTGCGATGTTGTACATTTGCGACCAGGCATATTTTTACACTTTTGTGGTGTTTGTGTTTGGCTGTAATTTTCCGCTTTCTCATTTACTGTTCCCATACAAATTATATATTGTTTTTTTCAGGACAAAAGGGGCTTTCTTTACATACCATTATTTATATAATCTCATGTATTTTAATTTAAAAAAAATAAAAAAATATGATGAAAAATTGAAAAAATACATGTTTTTTGACTTTTACTTGAAAAATCTTTTACTCATCTACAAAAGCGAATGAAAAAAACTGCTAAATAGATTCAAAATTTTGTCCTGAGTTTAAAAATACCTAGTGTTTACGTGCTTTTTTTTTGCATGTTATAGGGCTATAGGTACAAGTAGGATATTGCGGTTTCAAAACATACATTTTTTAAATTTATCAATAGTGACATTGTAACACTATTATCTGTCATAAATCTCTGAATAACACCCCACATGTACATATTTTTTTTAAAGTAGACAACCCAGGGTATTCAATATGGGGTATGTCCAGTCTTTTTTAGTAGCCACTTAGTCGAAAACACTGGCCAAAGTAAGCATTCATATTTGTTTGTGTGTGAAAAAAGTAAAAAAACTAAATTGAACGCTAATTTTGGCCAGTGTTTGTGACCAAGTGGTTACTAAAAAAGACTGGACATACCCCATTTGCAATACCTTGGGTTGTCTTCTTTTGCAAATGGTATGCCATCATGGGGGTAATTCTCATTCCTGTGCTACCATACGCTCTCAAAGGCAACGTAACCAACCTGGCCATTTTCAATGTAAAAATATTTGACCCATATATTTGACCTTGTAACTTTCAAAAATGCTATAAAACCTGTACATGGGGGGTACTGTTTTACTCGGGAGACATCGCTGAACACAAATATTAGTGTTTAAAAACTGGAAAACGTATCACAACAATTATATCATCAGTAAAAGTGCTGTTTGTGTGTGAAAAATGCAAAAAAAGTAACTTTCACTGACAATATCATCACTGTGATATGTTTTACTGTTTTGAATCACTAATATTTGTGTTCAGCGAAGTCTCCTGAGTAAAACAGTACCCCCCATGTACAGGTTTTAGGGTGTCGTAGAACGTTACAGGGTAAAATACAGTGCTAGCAAATTAAATTCTCTGGAATTTCGGCCTGGGTTGGCAGGCAGGTCCCTCAAATTGCAATCAATAAAATTACTTAATTATGTAAAAATATTACATAAATACGCACGTAGAATTTAAATATATATGCATATTTATATATTTGAAGTCTACGTGTATATTTATATAATTATTTATGTAATTTTGTATATGGACGTATGTATATTTCTTATTATTTTTATTTATTTTTATATACATAGATATATATACAAATTCATTCTAAGTATTTTGATATAAATACATATATATATTAATTTTAAAATACAGTTAGAATAAAATTTCATATAGCTATATAATTTTTTAAAATTTTATTATTTAAAAAATTTTTAATTTAAATTACTTATTATTTATATTTTATAATATATATACACAATATATATAGTTATTATATATATTATATATATATATATACACGTGTGTAATTTAATTATACGTGTATTTTTATATTAATATAAGTACATATTAATATAAAAATACACTTAGTATGACATTATATATATATATATATATATATATATATGATATATAGATATAATATATGTCTATATATCATATATACACATATAATTTTTTTTATTTTTTTTTATTAACATTAACTTTATTTTTTTTTCTGATTTTACACTAGCAGGGAGACTGCCTGTCAGCACAGACAGTCCTCCTGCAGGCAGACACTAGGACACCTATTGTGACCATGTGATCGCTGTGTTAAGTGATCACATGGCCACAGGGGTCCTAATCTGCCGTGGGGAGACTGTCTGGGCTGCAGACAGTCTCCCCACAACCGGAGCCACGCTGATCGCTGCCGGGGGAACGACGGCGATCAGGTAAGTAGCTCTGACCGTTAGGACGGTTCAGGACCGTCATCGGTCGGCAACGCAAAAATGCCGATGACGGTCCTGAACCGTCCTCGGTCGGGAAGGGGTTAATTGAAGTCTATCAATCTCTCTTTCGACCTCATTTATCGTAAACTCATGATTAAGTTGGGCTAGCTCTTGATTGTTACTTTTTGGAATATCAGTATTATCCAAATATTCTTTAATATCTTGACTGTCTGATGATATATCCAAATCATATAATTTACTATAAAATTCATTAAATAGTTGCCCAATTTTTTCTGGTGAGGAGTATGTAATTTGATCCTCAACCAGTTTATTGATTCTATTATTTGAATTTTGCTTTTTTAATCTTTTGGTTAAATTTTTATTTGCTTTATTACTTTGATGGTAAGTATTTAATCTCAATTTATTAATTATTTTTCTAATCTTTTCTTCTGTCTTTAAATTGATTTGTTTTTGTAATTCTAGAAGTAATGATCTTAATTGAATGGTTGGAGACTCTTTATTCATTTTAGACAGATTAGAATATTGAATATTTAAGTCTATTAGGTCTCTATTTGTCATAGTTTTGGATTGTTTTTCGATTTTAATAAGATAACCTCTAATAACCGCCTTATATGAAGACCATAAAGTAGAATCAAGAATATCAGGAGTGGAGTTTTCAAGCCAAAAAAACCTTGAAAGTTTACTTATAGTATCTTGATTTATCTTAACTTTAAAAAGAGAGTCGTCCATTCTCCAGGAGTCCATAGATCTCTGCAAGACCCTACCTACTTCCAATATTAGAAAACTGTGGTCGGACCAAGTATTATCCTTAATTTGGATTGTATTAATTTCTTTCAAAGGATTAGCTTTTACTAAGCATAAATCTATTCGTGAATACGAATTATGTACTTTAGACAAATGCGTATAGTCCCGTAAGTCTGGATGTGTTACCCGCCAGACATCATACAGACTGTGCATAGCGCATAAATTAGACAGGGTTTTAGATTGTTTATATAGCTGGCTTTCAGATTTTAATTGAATATGGTTTTTTTTTATCCATTAATGGGTCAAAAACACAGTTAAAATCGCCTGCTATCAGCAAAGTACCTATTGTTATATTTTCTAATCTATTTATGATTTTTGAAAACAGAGCAGTTGGATTAATGTTTGGTAAATATATGTTAACCAATGTGTAGGTTATAGATTCTATTTTACAGATAATTATAAGAAATCTGCCACTAGGGTCACTATCTATTAATCTTACGTCAAGTTTTAAATTAGAATCAAATATAATTGCCACTCCAGATTTTTTGTTATTTAAGAGAGATGCATGATATATATATTTATATTTATGCCCCATCCATTTTAGCGACTCAGATCGCAGCCAATGCGTTTCTTGGAGAAAAGCTATTTGTATTTGGTTAGAGACCAAAGAATCGTAAAGCATTTGCTTTTTCCACTGAGTATTTAGACCTTGTACATTTATAGACATAATTTTCAGCATTAATTTTCAAAAATTTTGTAAATATTAGCTTGATAGTACCAAGTAGTTTGAAACACAGAGAAGATATTATTCAGACTGACCATAGCCCAATTGGTACAACAATACAAATAGCAACACAGACCACAACATAAAAACCTCTGATGAGACATCAACGTTTCATCAACATTCAACAATATACATCCCAAAGGTAATAGCCATGGGTTCACTTGATCTTCCATCTTAGAAGATCAAGAGATATCTGTGAAAACATCACAGAAAGAGGGGATTAAGATCAGGCATCCAAAGGCTTAGTTAAAAATGTATATTTAAGATAGAGATAAGAGGCAGAGAGGGAGAAGAATAGCTTCAAGTTAATAAACATCTGCCACCTAAAAAAAAAAAAAAACCACCAAGAATATTATATATCTTTTTTTTCCTTTTTTCCTTTCCTTTCCCTTGTGTACTTAATTAAGCTTCTTTCAATTTTCATCTTTTTCTCTCCCTATCCCCCCACTATCATTTCCGTCCTACTTTACTAAACCTTTTATTACTTGTGTTTCTTTAAATAAATATATAAGTAAACGAAGTGAGTGAACAAGTATATCAATTGAAAAATTGTGCATGTGAGAATTATCAGCTTTTAAATCTTGTTAATAATTATATTAATTATACCCCCAGCATATTAATTTCTTATTTATGGCACAAAGCGTGCTCATTCCTTAATAATTATCTTGTGAAAAGTACTCAAAGGGACATTATTTTACAATAGACCTCAAAATATACATTTGTAGATTTAAATCTCTTCAACCTCTTAGTCTACCAAATTCTTACTAAACCTTGAAGTCTCTGTCAGAGATTAATTTAGTGATTTATTCTGTAGCCATGTCTTAAGCTTATCTGGTTGATCAAAAGACTATTTTTCCATCCGTTTGGATAATCAGCTTTGTAGGGTAGCTCCATCTGAATCTAATGTTATGTTGCTTGAGAGTATTAATTTCAGGTGAAAACATTCTTCTCTTATTTCTAGTTTTATAAGATAGATCTGGAAGTGCTATAATATGTGCATATAGACCATCTTTTATACGTTTCTCTCTGTTAACTTTTAAAACTTGTTCTTTGAATTCAAATGAATGAAAGCAGGCAATTATGTCTCTTGGAGTATCAGATGCTATATTTGGTGGTTTATACAATCTGTGACATCTATCGATTTTCTCATTATGGCCATCCAGTTTTAAACCTAAGAGTTTAAAATAGTCGTG